ATATATATATATATGTATATGTATATATCGAACAAGTCAAAGACCATGTTTGTGAGGAACAAATTCTTGGACTATTGGCTATCATGATTGCTGAGGCTGGTCAATACAAGGAAACATGATCAATAAGGGGATATGTGTTACTTATAAGGACGGTCTCAGGAGGGACTTTGAAGAAACGTTTTTTAGTGGGAGAACAAGTGACCAGCACTGATAGTTGCATTAATTACCTGACCTCCCCATGACTGAATGTGTACCATGGGGAAACACCATGCTATTTTTTATTACTCATATTTAATTCTTTTGAAGCATTCTCTCACCTCACTTTTTTGGGTGTGTGGGCCGGACTTGCAGTTACTTGCCACTTTGACATAATACCAGTTTACTCATATTGGTTTTGGTTTTCACTGTCTTCTCTTTCCACAACACCATCAACTTTTCTTTAAGGAAATAGAGAGTTGATTCAAAGAAAGCAAAGCTAACTCTTCTTGGTGAAGAGTAAGGCATTTCTTAAGCTGTAAACACTGCTTACTTCTTCCACTCTGCCCAGATTCCATTCTCCAGTGGAAATATGTGCGTAATTATATAGTTACATTTATCTGTACACCTGAAATTTTACATGGCAGTTTTACTAACATTGTAAATTCTTAGCATCATCCTCTTTTGAGGTCAGAAAGATTTGTTTCTGCTTTTAATCCAGTGACAAATAACTTTTGACCCTTTCCTCTCAAGATTTTAGCATATTGATGTGTCTTGGTGTATATTTTAATATACTGGCATTTGAGAAACCAAACAGTCCCATATACTTGCCAAAATTGATCTTCTTCATGTCTCTATTATTCACTTTAATCCACATCGAACACTACACATAGTATCTTACTAAAGTTCAGGTCAAGTTATGTACACTGCTTTCAAAAACTTTCACTGGATCTCTGCAGGGCACAGAATCAAGTAACATTCTGCTGTGTCTTTTAAGGCCATTCTTATATTTAAACTTCTGACCAGTTGAGTTTTCTAGGCTTCTTTCATTCCTAGAGTTGCTCAGTATTCACATTTTTCTAATCTGGGTGAGTTTTCAGCCTTGATGTTACCTTTGGTTATGCAAATTTCTCAGGAGAACCTTCCTTCTTTTCTTTCTGGTTGTGTTCTCATGACTCTTAAAGGAATATCCTAAGTCCCACTCCCCACCCCTGCCTCAGCTGTAAAAATTTGGTGTCCTGGGTTCTCATAGCTTTTGATTTATCCTTCCAATTCATTGTTAGTAGACTTCTATACTATAACAAAAGCCATAATTTATTTAGAAGTATCGAGATAGTGAGTTTCACAGACCAAGATTGCCTTCTGAGATCAAGGAGCGGTTCTAAAAGATACATATTTTAAAGCCTACAATTTGTTCACTACACATATAAATTTCTTTTTGTGGACACTCTAGGAGCTTCATGATTTTATTGGAATTTTCTTAGAAATCTGATAGGACAATATGAGCATATGAATTAAAATAAGCAGTACTTACCCTAGTCTGGATGCCCCTGGTGTCTTGGGTCCTATTTACATGATCTCTTTCAAGCCTCATTGATGTTGGTCTCAGTTACCTTCTTTACAATCAAGGAAACTCAGATTCTGGAAATCAGACAACGTTCCCCTGATTATTTTAAGCAAGTCCAGCATGGATGTCTGCAGCTTAGCTGTCTGGGTTGGACTCTGTCCTTGCCATTTTCAAGCTTAAGCCAGTAACTCAGCCTTTCTCTACCATAGGTTCTCTCACTGTAAATATGACGGTAATATCTCTCTGGTGGGCTTTATTTTCTTAAAGATAAAGTAAGTTAATATATGTAAACACTTAAAATAGACACAGGCATATGTAAGTATTAGCTATAATTATCATGATCATCTCTGTCTTTAGTGAACACAGAATTAAAAAGTGAGTTAGTCAGAATTTGGACCAAGTTCTATTTGGCTTCAAAGACTGTCCACTTGTACATGTCAAAGTGCCTTGAGATTAAAGAATAGAATGAAAAATCCTTTTTAAACTTTTCCTGAGGGATACAAACCCTTCCTGATTTTATTTTTGTTTAAAATACAGGAGCAGTGTGCCATGCTTTGTTCTGGAGGTTGATGACTCCAGAAACATTAGTGTCAGAGAGATCAAACTCTGCTTCCATACAAAGGCCTAATAAAAACCATAGGACCTAGTACAAAATTAGTGCCAACAAAGGGTCACTATGCCTGTCATATTACTAGCATTTGCTTGCTTGTGTCTGGACCTGTTGGGCAAGATCACGTGTTTAGCAAGGACTCAAACAAGCCTGAGCATGCTTGCTCACAGAGAACACACAGCAGCCATCTCTACCTTCCTTACCTCACCAAGGGGGTGAAGGAGGGTTTTGTAAAGTTGTAGGAGTATCTCTTCCTCCCCACCCCCTTGCCCCTTCCTCTGTTCCTCAGAAAGAGATGGGCCCCACATTGCTCAGGAAGAACACAGCAGAGGTGAGAGGCAGATAAGAAAGGTGTTATATTTGGCATGACTGGCTTAGACTTAAGGTTGGGCCTAACTAGCCACGTAGGGTGATTTTTCAAAATATATCATTTGGATAATACCCGCTGTATCTGCATCCATATGTAACTTTAACTAAGCAAGAGAAATAGATTGTGAGATGTGTTCTTTGAGAGTATTATGCTTTTAAATTTAGTTAAATTCAATTTAATCTACAAATTTATTCTGGCCTCATGATGACATCAGTCTGAGCTGTATGGCTTTAAACTTATGAGACAAGGCCACCAGTAGACGACCCAATAAATAGGAAACTGTAACGCAACACATTACATCTGCAGTGGAAGTATCTGTAAAAAAGTCTTGAGTCCATATAAGCAAGAGAAATGGTCTAGATGATTGGTGGGAGCCTGTGTTATTTAGGAAAGTCATTGGAGGAAAGTTAACTCTGGATAGAAAATAGGAAACCATTACATGAATGCGGAGGAGATGAATATACCAAGCAAAGGGCAGTACAAGTGTTAAGGCTTAGAGATGAAAAAATATCTAGTTTGTTGAACTGACTTATTTTAAAAGTGGTAGATTGGAAGTGTTCCAAATGTTTTGTAAGATTAATGTCTAGTGCTATTGTCATTTTACAGATGAACACACTCATACTCAATGATATAGCCACTAAGTGAATAGATTTAATTAAAGCAAGCTACTGCTATGGAAATATATTTATTAGCCATTAAAATTAACCATTATTATACACATACCACCTCCCTAGTTTTGCTCAGTCATGATTAACCATCAAAACCCCCTAGGCAATTTCTAGAACTATAGTGATTGAATGTATCTTCTTGGCAAATGGTTCTATTATCCCATTTATGGCTCACACCTGAATCTTGGGAATAACTCACGGCACTTCTCCCTTCTTTGTCCTCCACATCTAACTAATCTCCAAATTCTCAGTTTTCCACTGGAAATCTTTCCACTTTTTCCATCCTAACTTCTAGCAACCAGATTCAAACCTCACAAACTAAGTAATCTCTTGACTTCCTTTCTGCTCCCCACAAATTCATGACCCCAATCAGAGCCACAAACATTGTATAATCCCATGGCTTAATTTTCTCTAGTGGCCCAAAATTGCCCCGGAATAAAATACAGACCTTTATCATAGTTATAGGGCTTTGCTCCATACCCTTTCTTCTGGTTCACTTCATACTACCCTTCAATCCTGCCTCTTGTCTAGCCAAAAGAAAATTTATTTTTTCATTTCTTCCAATATAACAAGCTATTTTCTATCTCAGAGTTTTCCCATTTTCTTTTTCTTTTATTTATTTGTTAGTACTGGGGGATTGAACCCAGAACTTCTGCACTAAGCTCTTTAAATTTTCTTTCAAAATTTTGAGACAGTATCTCACTAAATTGCCCAGGCTGAGCTCAAACTTGTGATCCTCCTGCCTTAGGCTTCCAGAGTGCTGGGACTATGGGTATGCATCATGCATGACTCACAGCTATATGTTGCCATTCTTTTGGCAGAAATGACTCTTTCCATATAAGGCTCTTCCTCAGGTCTCAGATCTTTCCTGGCCCCCATGCAAAATGTCATCTGTCATCCTCTTGTAGGGAATTCTGTTCTTTTTCCTTTATAGTACAATTTATTGCTAAGCACTTATGTGCTTACTTATCAATATCAATGTCTCCAGAACAAGCTTGAGAGCTCCATAATGGTAGATCCTATACCTACTGCATCAATCCTCATGTACCTTTTGCCTGGCCCAGTGTATATTCCACAGCAAAGGTCCCATGCAGTCTTAATGAATAAGAGATAGATGGATTAAAAAGCTGTGTGAGATAAGAAAAGAAGGACACGATTCAGCAAGGAGGTCACTGATGACATATGCTTGGCTGCTTTCAGGTGAAAGGTAGGGAGGATATGAAATACAGTGAGTTCTGAAGATGAATAAGAAAGCAGCAAAGAAATGGAGTTAATGTCATATGCTGAAAATAATTACTATGTGCCAGACTCTGATCTTGGCATTTAGCATGTATTATTTAATCACTGCAGCAACCTTATAATTAAAGGTTATTTCCATGGTTTGGATGAGAGAAAGCATCTCAAAGAGATTAAATAATATCTCCAAGTATGTTAGCCAGCTCTCTATTTCTGTGAAAAAGTTCCTGAGGTAAACAATTTGAAAAGGGGAAAGGTTTATTTTGGCTTACAGTTTGGAAGTTTTATTCCATGATCAATTGGGTTGTTGACTGGGGGCCCATGTAAGGCATTATAATATGGTGAAACTTTTGGCAGAAGAAGCTCTCAACCCACAGTGAAATAAAAGGGAAATAGAAAAAGGGCCAGGGACCCAACCTCCTGTTCAAGGTCACAGCCCCAGTGACCTAATTGTCATTTATCAACTCCTGCCTCCTAAAGGTTCCAGCACTTCCCAATAGAGCCACAGGTTGTAAATAGAGAGGGATGAAGAGGTTGAAGGGAGGGCAGGGAAAGGGGGGGATAAGAATCAAGACGGATTATGTAAAGGTACAAATTTCCAAAGATGAATGTCATATTGTATATCTAAAATGTACCAATAAAATTAATTTTAAAAAGATTCAAACCATAGCAGCAATGTCACATATGTGGAATATGGAAAAAACAGGACCAAGCCTGACTTTGGAGTCCATACTCTGAACCAATGAGCTAATAGAGTGAGTGTATACAGATATTGTGTGATGGGTGGTTTGAAAAATCCATTACAACTAATGGATTATAGTTAATTAGACCTGGGTGAGAGCTCAGGACTCACTGGCTTACATTTTGAGTGATTCTTTGGCAGATGGTGACCCAAGAGCTCTACCCTGCAGAACATCACTTTCTAGCATGCTTCACAAGAAAGTAGATTTCAGGTCATTCACAGTTTCCCATCTGAGCCTTGGGGCCTGTCAAACACTCTTCTATCTATACAATTGATAAGTGTTTCCTCATGAATGTATGATAAATAAATAACTTTTTGTTCTGTTCAGGGCTTCAACTGATTGGATGAGACCCATCCATGCTAGGGGGAGAAATTTGTTTTATTCAGTGAAGGATCACTCATTTAATTATAAATCTCACCCCAAAGCACCATCACAGACATATCTAGAATAATATTTGACCAACCAGCTAGCACTGTTGCACAGGAAAATGGACACATAACCTTAACTATGACAGTTAGTGTCTTCTACATTGAACTCTGCACAGCACTGTTTTGGAAGGTGTTAATGGGCTGGAAAAAATTAAAGCAAGTTAAGGGGAAGAGGTCAAAGATTAAATATATTTGTGACACATCATCTGTTGCATTCACCTATTGAACTATTACATATTTATCTGTTAAAGACTTGAATTCCTGAGGTCAAAAAAGCTGTTTGGTTTTGAGTAACTGCTGTGGGTGGAAGAGGAGGTGGCCCTTATTGTGCATGCTCCATTCAGAGCCCCAAACTCCATTCACACCTGGGGGGAAACTGGAGCTGGGGTCCTTTCCCTGTGAATCCCAAATCCTAAACCCTGACTCTCTCATCTAAATTGAACAGAAATATTGTTTGAATGCTATATATATACATATTTAGCCAATAGGGAGTTTAAAAACTGGGACAATCCTGCCACATTCCACTGTCCCCAGGCTTTGACCAAGACCCAGGCATGACGGTGAAAGCAACAGTGTTTCAGTGCAGCCAAGACATCCCACGCAAAGCTCTGCCATTCCTGATCTGTCAGTTTTATCCCTTGATAGTTTCTTTCCATCTTGTTTTTGTTTCTCAGTTCCATGCCATTCAACCTCCCTGTTTTTGCCACCTCATATTTTCTGTCTACCTTCATGGAGCTCTAAACAAAACCAAAATTGATGATGTCACAGAAAAAGCAAAGCTCTCATTGTTTTCGTGTAACATATGCTGCCTTCCTTCTGTTCTTGATCTTGATAGCAAATGCCTTTTTGTCTTCCCAGCATCATTAGTTGTCTTTTCTTAATTAAAATATCCACAGAGTAGAATTGTTTTATGTACAAGAAATGATGATAAGGACTATGGTGAGTGGAACAGAAATGTATACTTCTCAAATTTAACTGAGTTTGTAGAAATTAAACCTTATCACACCACTGGGGCAAGGTATGTCCATGCTTTGGCATGACCTCCCCTGAAATGTGCTCAGGAGAAGGAAGCTGCCTGCACATGCTCCTTTTTATCCATTTTAGGGAGAGGGAAGGGAGGCAGCATCCTCGTGGTCGAGTAGAGCTGCTTCCTCTTTTCAACAGCTACTGCTCTGTTCAGGCTAACACATCCCTATGTACTCCTTTCTTCACCCTGTAGCTTTCCTATACTGAACTCAGACTAATTCCCCTAAACATAGGTGGGAGAGGGGAGGCCCTCCCATGGGGTGAAGCATGAGCTTGAGACATTTGCAAACTCATCTCTCCAGAACTGGCAGGTGGCTGGTACCAGCTTTCCCATTTAACTTCACAAATATTAGCTCCTCGGGGTGAGGATTTAACTCAGTGGTTCTGGTGCCTGCCTTGCAAAGCAGCAAGGGCCTGAGTTCGATCCCCAGTACCAAAAAAAAAAAAAAAAAAAAAAAAAAAAAAAAAAAAAAAAAAAAAAAAAAGACTTAGACACTTGGTATGAAGAATAAAAGCCTTTGTCTGAGGAGCAACTGGTAAAATTTTTTTCCCACATTGTAGGTTGTCTCTTCATTCTGCTGGTGGTTTCTTTTGTAGTACAGGTTCTCTGGTGTGAATAAACTGTAATACATAAGATCCTAATAAGATTACCGACATTGTGAAATGGGAAGGAAGGGGCTAAAGGTGTAGGGAAGGTGGGATGGGTAGGGGAAGGGAAATAAGGGAAAAGAAAAAAATGTGAGATAATGAAAAGATGGAAATAAAGTGGTTGTAAATGGAGAGGGGAGGAGGGTGTGAAGGGAGGGCAGGGACAAGGGGAAAAAATGAGAATCAGGACCTGTCATGTAGAGGTACAAGATCCCAGTAATGAATGTAACTGTACTGTATCCCTAAAATGTACCAATAAACTCAATTAAAGCTGAAAGAAAAGAATAAAAGCAATTAGAAAGAAAGAAAAACAAAACAACCTGTAAACCACGATCTAGTGGCTAGAGCTAAAGAAGGCAGAAAAGAAATGTCGGGTAGATGTGCTACATTTCCATACTACATCACAAAAAGGAAGAGACTGGCTTTTTTTCTGATGATGAAAATTTTAACACCCCCACATAAAGGAACATCAAGTCTTTCCAAACTCAAAGCAGATTTCTTGTTCTAAACATTCCAGATTAGCCAAACAGGAAATTTGAAAGCAAGAGCTCCCTCTTGCTTTGGAATCTGTTGGGTAATAATCCTCTCTATTGGCTCTAATCTCTATTAGAGATGCCTTCTGTCTCCCGGGCTAAGGAAGTGTGGTTCACAGAGCAAGGGTAATTCTTGGCTCTCATAAGGTTGGCTGCCCTTGTGAGGCCCCACCAGTGTCAATCTTGGTCCTTCCTGATGCGGTCATTTTGCCTCTGTGTTGATAATAGTGGTGAGAACCACAGCCATGGGTCTCAGCATGCTGTGTCTTCTGGTCTCTTGACACCAGCACCTGCAGGATCATTCTGCTTTTCAGGTTATTACTGAGCAAAATCAAGGCTCCAATGTTATTGCCAATAAACAGTAGAAAATAAATATGAGGATGACATTTGGAGTTTGAATTAGCTAGACCATCATTTCAAGTTCAATTCCATGATTCTCCTTTAAATTCATGTGGTTTGAAACATGATCTGTATGAAAAGCAGCTTCTTCTGCCTTTTTAGATTATTTAGAAAGGAGGTACAGTATATGCATGTAGTGAGAAATACCAATTTAGTTTTTGAGACAGACCACAAAAGACTGCATTTACAGTGGTTGTTAAAAATTGCTTAAATTCTTAGTAATCAATTGCTGAATAATTGAACCACAACCCACAGCTTGATTAAACTAGGTCAAATTAAAGATTATGGCACTTGTCTTTTTGTAAGGGGAGATGGTGTGGCAAAGAATCACCACAGAAATGCTGCTAAACCAAGCACATTGAGACTAAGGTATTTATTCTACATGTATCTCTGGTCATGGCAGTTTCCTGTTGCTACTGTATTTTAGGAAGTAAGTAAACCATCTGAGTCATTGTCCCCTGAAAACTAATGATTGAAGAGTTATGCTTACTTAACCTTCTTTTGTCTCTGTTTCTTCATCTAAACATCTAACTCACAAAGATTAAATAAGACAATACTCAACAGAAACCAAGCACACACAGTAAGGAATTAGGTAAGTGGTCATTATTAATTTTTGCATAGAATATTACCACCATTGCCATTTTGCAAAGGAAGAAAAGTCTGCTAAAACTCTTAAGTGATTTTCCAAGGGTACTGAAATAATACACAATAACCTGATGGGGTTCAGCACATGGAGGGAAAAGCAAATGACCTTTTCCTCCCACTTCCCTAATATGTGGTCTAGGTAAGGCAAGAACACAGAAGGAGAGACTTTACAGATGTGAGAGCACTGACTACCACTTTGTAATTTAAACACATAGAGAAGCATGCTCTGATTGGGTTGTCAGGTCAGCAAGAGTTCATCAAACTGGAACAAGGCCTACAAGTCAAACTTGGGTGGATTGGGAATGGAGAGGTTATATTTTGTGGTGTTTTCTTGGAAGAACAGCACAAAAATTGTGTGAGTTATAGCAAGGAGGGGAGGGGAGGTGGAGCTAGAAATTGGGAGAGATGGAAATGGTGGCGAAACCAAGGAGAAATCAAGAAAATGAAGCATGTGGAGATGTATTCTGTTCTTTTTTTTGGTACCGGGGATTGAACTTGGGTCCTTGCACTTGCAAGGCAGGCCACTGAACCACTGAGCTAAATCCCCGGCCCAAGATGTATTCTGTTTTGAGTTATTTGAATATGGCTATCTTCCTCAAACTGGAATCTGAAAGTCAAGGGAATTCTGGATGTGCATTCTTGTGGTTTAGCAAAAATTATTTTTCTTTAAAAGAAGCCCATACATTGTTTCAGCTTTGAGAAATGTTGAACAAGAGTCTTCCCTGCTTCTCAGAGATAACTTCATTAGTTAGACATTGAGGTCATACTTACAAAGAATTCAAAATCACTCTGTAATTGATACAGCATTTAGCCAGTGTGTAATAGTATCACTTGATTCCAATGAATGGGTCCCACAGCCTGGGTTCCAATCCAGAAGTGCTCTTGAAGTTCCACTGGTACAACGGTACATATTTGTAAGCGAAAAAGTTAAAAGTATCTTGAAACACCCTGAATAAAAATATGTGATAATCAGAGATTATCACAAATGTCAATATTATCAACATTTTAAATTTCTTATTATTGAAAGATTATTTTCATTTTATTTTAAAACCAGAGTAACTTTTTTACAATCTTCAAATACCCTAATATGTGAAGGGTTATATTCTTAGCTAAGACCACAGCAGATATTGTTTTCATAGTATATCTCCACACACCAGATAAAATGATGGTAAAAACCAAGGTATAGGAGAGCCAATAGATGGAACAAAAACTAAATCTTTGAATGACCTCGCAGAAGAGGGTTGATAACTTTCCCAGCCCCATTTATGACAGCAAGAAATCAACTTCTTTCATGTTGAGATTCTGCCTTTTAAAGGCCTTCCAATCTGATTATCTAGTTAGAACAAGATATTTATTCTGACACCTGAGCTCTCAGTTAAAATAAGAGTACTTTGATTCCAAAAGCAAGTCAAAATAAACTATTTGTTACTATTGATTAAGTGCCTTACAGTTTTAATAATTTTAAGCTTATCTTCTCATTTCAGTTTCATATGATTCTTTTTTTTTTTTTTTTTTTTTTTTTGTCTCG